CCCCGGAGGCTCCCCCCCCCCAAAAAAAAACAAGCACCCCACCCCGTCCGGAACCTGGTGTATCCTAGTCGGGTCTGAGGTGGCCGCATTTGGTGTGATGAAGTGGTTGCCCTGATCTCAGCGAGGTTGGATTTATTTACAGGGCTCTTCAAGCTACAGCGCTGCACCACCCACATCACTACCTACCGCTGCCGCACTATTACCTCCAGTAAGTCAAGTTGAGCGGCTTCCATCTGAGGTGTTCTGCTTGCAGCTGCAGCAGTGTAACCCACACCCGAACTTTCTCACACCCTCCCAGCAAAGTCACTACGTGGGGGGCCCTTCTCTTCTTCGTCACAGCCTCTCGCGCTCACTTTCATACTCTCTTCCCTCTTTCATACATTTTGTAGTCCGTCCGCCTTTCGCTCCACCACAAGCCATTCAAACCAACATTCATGAGCACATCTGTCTCAATCGCCAACTCAAGTCCTGTTCTAACAATGAATCCAACAATAACAGAGCACGACTTTCGCTTTCCCAGAAGGCCAAGTGCATGGCCCACTGCTTCTGCTTACCACGCTCCCAATCAGCGCAGCGGCCAATCGAGCCATATCCCAAATTCTCGTGACGCCTCGGCCAGCTTCAAGGAGCACAAGACCGACATGGCCGGCACCTATTCCCTTGCCAGGCAGGGCCTAGGCGGTACCGCCCTTTTCCCATTCCTTCAGAATGGTCTCGCCGACTCCGACCGCAGTGTCGACAAGATGCAGCACGATGATCCCCTGGCGACTCAAGTCTGGAAGTTTTTTGCGAGAACCAAGCAACAGCTTCCTAGCCAGCAGCGCATGGAGAATCTCACCTGGCGCATGATGGCTCTCAGTATGCGCAAGCACCAGGAGGAACAGGAGCAGAGGCAGAACGAAGCAGACGCCCGTCGGAAACGAAACATGGAGGCTACTAACCGGTATGTACATCCTTGTCTATTCTTTCAACAACATTTTGCGCTTCCTATTGCCATCATTTTGCGCTCATGACGTGCTGACAAGGGCCTCAAGGCTTGGGCGACCATTAATGCAAAACTCTCCCAGTGGCATTGCTCAGTTGCGAAAATCGTCTGAGCACAATATGTCACAGCCTGATGCTATGAATCTCGACGACTTCATCTTTTCCGACAACTCTACTTCACCTGGCAACTTTGCGTCTCCTCATGGTGATAAAATGACCGACGACAGGGCCGGCAATCCGATGGCTTCCGCCATTCATATCAAATCCCGCAAGGAGCCATCGCACCAGGGCTTCGTCCCACAATCGGTACCCGTTCAGCCGCTTCACCAGGCCACTCAAGGCCATGAGTTCAACTATGTCAATCGCCATCTTCGAAAAACCAGCATTGATGATCGCAGAGTGAGTAATCCTAATGACCCCTCACTCTCGTTGTATGACTAGTTGTGTATAATTCCCTTGTCACCACAAAGTTTCGATCCTCTGCCGAAATCACATGTGATAACACGCTTAATTTGCGCTGGCTGCTAACTTCAGCAAATAGACTCGGAAGCGCCCCGCTGATTTCTCACCACAAGTTCCGGCTGTCAACAGTACTGCTGCGCAGAACGATCTTGATCTTGATTCGGAGCTGCATGACTACTCTCTAGACCAAACCAACCAGGCCGGCATCGCCCAGCAGCCGAATGGCGTCAATGTTCCCTTTGGGCTTGACACATTCATGGATAACGATTCTTCCATGGTCAACAACAATGCGAACTTTCAGCAGAATTTCTCTTTTTCTCCCTCCACCTCACCTATGATACCCCACGGCCCTTTCTCTGGCATGTACCAAAACTCGGCTGTTCCCGCAGCGTCTGTAAATAACAACGACTTTTACTCTCCCCCAGGATCCGCATACCCCTCGAACGTTTCAACTCCCCATCCCGTGCCTGAACAGGACGGATTTTACTTTGGTTCCCAGGATGCAAGAACTCAAAGGCCCCAAGGTTTCCAACAGAGTATCAACAGTATGCTCAGCCAGCAGTTCATGTATAGCAGTGCAAACGGCACTAACAGCAGTACTATGTTCTCTGCTCCAGGAACTGGATCAGAATCCATGTCCGCCTACAGCACTGCTCCCAGCTCCTTTGGACATATCGACCCGTCGCAGGTATTCCAGAATGACCAATCAGTACAATCCCCCACTATTCAAATGCAGCAGGACAGTATGTTCTCATTCGGAGCCGACTCCGATGATGAGGACAATAACGCATTCTCTGACCGCAATGTGTCGATGCAAAAGGACATTTCCTCATCCCTTGACGACTCTGGGTCCATGGGCTGGGATGCAAGCCTGCCAGGCCAGTTTAGCACCCAAGCGGCTCGTTTCCCTGGTGGACCAACCCGCAAGCAGGTAACAATTGGAGGTGCGACGACTGATTTCGTCGACAACAATGGTGACTGGGAATCAAACGGTCTCGAACGATCGCAGTCACAGTCTTTCAGGGGTGGCAATCCCCGGAGACAGCATCCTAAGCTGCCACGAAACGCCTCCACGCCAGTTCATTTTTCTGGCCAGCAGAATGGTTTTGAGCAGCTTGCCCAATCTATGCAAAGCTCGCCTGCTGGTGACGCAAATGGAACAATGTCGGGATTCTCGTCTGTTGCTCCAAGCAGACCATCTTCGCCACCCATGTCAAAGCAGGGCTCGACGACTAACCTGCAGGCTGCCGCCGGCAATGGCAGCGATGGAAATGCTCCGACCACGTGCACCAATTGTTTCACTCAGACTACGCCCCTGTGGAGGCGAAACCCTGAAGGCCAACCCTTGTGTAACGCCTGTGGTCTTTTCCTAAAACTGCATGGTGTTGTGAGACCGTTGAGCTTGAAGACGGATGTTATCAAGAAGCGCAACCGTGGGTCTGGAAGCAATGTTCCAGTTGGAGGAAGCAGCACTAGGTCTAAGAAGACGGCGAGTGCATTAAACTCACGCAAGAATTCAACCCTGTCGATGTCCACTGCGGTGACGAACAACACCAATCCCAACAGCAGTAACCCAACCCCTAAAGCAACGACACCACCTGCTGCCAGTCGACCTACGAGCAGCAAGGACATTGAGAGCCCCATCAGCGGTACTACATCGGGCACAAACACCGCTGGCAGTACTCCAAACAGTCATCTCGCTGGCTCGGGTCCTTCGTCCGGTGCCATGGGTGGTAAAGGAGTTGTTCCTATTGCAGCTGCTCCCCCCAAGACTAGTCCTGGACCTGGCGCCTCATCAATGTCACTGCAGCGACCCGCCACCGCTTCGTCAAAACGGCAACGTCGTCACAGTAAAAGTATTGGCGGAGATGTGCCGGTGTCTATGGACATCGACAGCCCCGACTCGACAAGTTCCATTGATGCCCCACGTCCCTTTGGCTCTTCTGCAGGCCTGTCGAGTTTGCCTGGCGGCATGTCTGCTAGTAGCTTCAACCTTAACCAACGACCGAGCACACTGGGTTCTGCAACGGGCATGATTAGTATGTCTGGTGGTGGGCAAACAAGCTCCCTGATTGGCAGTTCTGCGGGTCCGCAAGAGTGGGAATGGTTGACGATGAGTCTCTAACTGTGATGGGGCTTTTGTTATAGGAATAAGCGAAGTACGAGATTTGACGAGACATGGAATTATTTGAGGCGTTTTAGATGGAGGCGTTTTTAACGGTGTTATGACACAACGAACTGATACCTTATTACTTGGATGTATGGCATACTGGCGGATTATGTCGCTTCTGGAGTTCCGGAGTTCCAGAATTTGGATGGAGAGAAAGGCTGTCATTCATTGTATTGTTGTTGTTGTTGGGCGTTCATGCGTGGACGAAAAGCTCGACAGCAGTACAAGAGAAACTTCACTACAACGGCGGCCATTCCCACATCATTGCATACGCCCGTTTAATAAGCTCGATAAAGGAGTTTGAAATTATTTTTATTTCGCATATAGAAGAAAGCTTGACTATATCAGGGGGTTTTAGGCACAAATTTGATAAATAGGACACGTCCTTATATTGAACATACAGGCTCGGAACATCTGTGGCACCATATGAAAACTTATACTTGATGTATAGAATTCTAAGTTTGCGTGACTTTGTGTCGTTCCTAAGTTCCCATTCTAGATAAGATGTAAGCTAATTGTGTTTATGGTATTGGATGGAGGTGGAAAACTACTCGTCATGCACTGTCAGATGCGCTGTATGAATGAATACATGGAAGACGAGGACGTCAGACCTAGAATAAAAAGGCGTCCATGAAAACATCGCCGCGGCCTGCTATTCTTTTACATCTCTTCCGCATGGTTCATCTGGTTGTCCCCCACTGTGCAGAACTAGAGTGAACAATTTTGCTTCCTTGCAAGTTCAAGTTCAACTATCACTTATTCAGACACCTTTCCTGCAGTGAACACAATTCATCACGGGCATCCATATTATGTAACAACGTTATCTCGAAGTTGCATGCTAGTCAATGAAGTTCTGCACGATAGATAGTATTGACTTTTCCACTTGTGTTTCCTCTCCTTACCTCATGCCTGCTAAAGTAAAGGTTGAATTACACAAGAGCCCTATTCCCCGAGCATGCATGCATGACTGAAACTGTTCTTAAAAGTCTGGACGCAATCAGACTCCTTCCCACTGGACCGCATGCATGAACCTGGTCCGTATCAAACTCCTGCTTGCCATAACGAAGAGCAAAAAAAGAAAGCCGATTCGCAAAAACAATAGCCCCAAATACATGACCAAGAGTGGTAATACAGCAAACGTCGAAAGTAGTAGAAAAACGATGGGGGCGAGGGACAGCTGCCGGAACCCGAATCTTCATGGCACACAGGCCACATCATAGGAACACTAATTGATAGGTATTAATGTAAAATCGCGAATGCTGCTTCAAAAGAGGGCCTTCCCTCGGTTGACGAATCCACGCCAGCCCACCACTCTCTGGGAACTTGAAGGCTCGTCCTAGAACATCGTTCCAAATGACTCGTCAGTGGGGATGCGTTTCCGAGGGCTGACGCCGTCTTCTGTAGCAGGTTTGCGATGCCTGAACGTGAAGCCGACAAAGAGGCTCTTGCTCATCTGATCCTCGCGTTCCGCCATGGTCTCAAGAGCTTGTTGCTTGTCATGCACCTCCTTGTACTTTGCCATGTCGGCTTCATTGGTAAAGTCGTCGAAATAGCCCGCATCGGTCTCCGAGTCCAGCTCAGGAACAAATGGTGCACGTGTTTGTCGTAGAACGTCCCATTCAACCTCAGCAAAGTATTGATGGGCATAGATATCATTAATATTCGAAAATCGTCTTGTGCGAGAGTTGATGCATCTGTGTGCAATAGTGTCAGCTCACATGGTACGGATCCAAGTGCTCGAAGTTTGGATCTACTTACGTGCAGATGAAGTTCCAGGTTCGGTTGCTCAGGAAGTAGTTGGGATCCTCCCACACAGGCCTCTTTAAGACCTCCTTCCAGTGCTTTAGATTGCGCCAAGTCTCATCAGGGGTAGCACCCGCAAAGGGAGGGAATCCGGTAAGGGCTTCGAAAAGCATACATCCTAGACTCCAGTAGTCCACCGTGAAGTCATATTCCTCCCCTCTAAGGACCTCCGGGGCCATGTAGTCGGGTGATCCTACAATAGATTTGGCGTAGTTGACATCGTTTTCACGCATCGTTCGGTAGCTCTCTCGCCGTTCAGCCACGGTTCGCTGATCCATGGGCTTGCCGAAGGGGACTGCACTTTCAGATGCCTTTTCCAGCTTGACGCGCATAGACTCGATCTTAGACGGGGCTAAGACACCGGCAGCAAGGCCGAAATCGGTCAACTTGATGTGACCCGTCGAGTCGACCAAGAAGTTCTCTGGTTTGAGATCTCGGTGGATATAGCCTAGCTGATGCAGGGCATCCACGGAGCAAAACATCTCGGCGATGTAGAAGCGAGCATGGCGATTCGATAGCACACCAGTGTTGTTAAGCAGGGTGCGGAAGTCACCGCCAGGCACGTACTCCATAGCAAGATATATACTTTTCTCGTCTTGGAAAGAGTAGAGGAGCCTAACAAGCCACTCGCTCTGAGCGGTTGTAAGAATATCTCTCTCGGTCAAAACGTGGCGAACTTCATCGAGTTTGAAGAGTAGCTTCTTGCTCATGACCTTGAGGGCGCAAACCTCACGAGTGTCCTTCTTCTGGGCCAAGAAAACTTGGCCATAGCCACCCTGACCAACCTGGGTCAAGATTTGGAAGTCACCGTGCCGAAGTCGTACTCGACGCTTGCGAAGGTTGGCGCGCTCTCGTCCAGCATACTTAGTCCACATTTGATTGTGCGTTTGCTCATCGGTCTCTGGGGGTGGGGGATATTCATTCTTGAAGGCTGTTAGTCGGTTTTGCCGAGCGCCGACGTATGTGAGAAGATCGAAATAATAGTCCAAGAAATCTGAGAATTGTTAGAGGCTAATAGATAGATAGGGGTGACTTCAGAGTTGAGCAGTTGAAGTAATGCTAGTGCTTACAGAGTTGAGTGACGTTCACCAACCGCTTGACATTTGGCTTTTGGAGGATTTCACGCTCTTCTGCTGTCAATCCTCGATGTGTGTTGAATCGTTTGGTGGCGGGTGTGGTAGGTCGGTCTCGCTGCTCGTAGAGCTGTTGACGGGTAACAGCAGCATGGCTGTGTTGGTGGGGAGAATCGACGTTGGCCAAGCGAGAAGGCGGCGGTGTATTTTCCTGTCCTTGCTTCTTGTTAGGGCTTCCTGGTCGCGTCTTGTGGACGACGCTTTCGTCGACATTTGTGTTGGACTCGTCGAGAGGCTGAGTCTTGGTCTTGCCAGGCGATAGCGGGGTTACAACACTTTGAGGTCGGCCCAATCTGAGGGGCGGCTCGATCGTGGGAGTGTTGAGGTTCAAAGCACTGTCGAAGGCAGAAGGGAGGTCGTGTGCGCCGGGAGGATTGGTCTTCTTGCTTGGGCTACCTTGAGGCGTGCTCACAGGGTTAAGAAAGTTGTCTGACTTGGTTGACGGTGTAGCAGGGCGCGAGCTGTTTTCGCCAGAAGCATTGGCTGCTTTCCCGCCAGGAAAGAAGCTTGACATGAAACTAGCCATGACTGGTTGTCTTTCCTCGCAATGCCAATTGTGGTTGAGTGGATGAGGGGGTAATAGATTAAGAAGACGCTCGGGAGCGTAGTCTATGGCGGGGATGTTTTGTTGTCGCAATACAAGTTGGGGTCAGAGTCGAGGGGTAGTATAGTATGTACAGTACAGTACAGTA